AGCTAGGTATAGAAGTGTAGGCAGGCTAGCATTTAACTTGTTGTATGCTTTTTGCACCCAAGAGATATTGTTTCTTTTGCAATATATATCTATTAATATACAAATAAATAAAGTAATGATGTTTACCTATCGGAAAAAAAAAAAATTTATAAAAATTAATAATTATATACTACTTTATATAGATTATTCTGATTATTTATTTCTTCTTTTGATATTCAAACTTAATTAATTTTTGAAAGATTATATATTTTTGAAAATATTAAAAAATATATTTATAAAGAATTAAACATTCTATTATTATTTTATAACTATTTAATTTATATATTAGTATAGTTTAATAAAAAGAAATCTTGATTAGAGAAATTAAACAAATGTTTTTATTTTATTTTGTTCAATTATATTAAAATAAAATTAATTAAAATCAGTTAAAATAGAGTATAATTTAATTTATATATTCAAACATGTTATATTTTTTGCTTTTTAATAATTATTATAATATCAATCAAACTATTGCTTTGCTATTATACTTTTTTTGAAGATTATAATTTTAATACTTGTTAAATCAGCATATTAATTGATTTTTTATAAAAAATAATTAATATAAATTGACCTAACTGCTTTTACTTAAAGTTGAACTGGTATCTTATAATTTAAATTCGAAAGTATTAACTATTATATTATAGACTTAATAAAAAATCTTTTTTATTAATCAAATAATTTTTTATATAAATCTTAAGTTATAATAAAAAATTTTTTTAACTTAATAATTTAATATAAATTTTAAAATTACTTTTTGTTTACTTATAAACTTTAATTAATATATTTTTTTCAATTTAATAAAAAAACAATAAAAAATAATATTATTTATTTCAATTTAATATTTCTTAAATCTATAAAGTTTATTAAAGGTCAATGAAATTTTTATAATAAAACTTTGAATTCAAAGTTAATTTAATCCTGTTCATTAAGTCAAGATTCAAGTTTTACTATAAAAAATTTTATTTGTTTTCAAGTAAACTTTACGAATATAAGAAAATACAATGTTGAAATTATAAGTTATTTTTTATTATAACTTGGAAATTCATGTGAAAAGTTATTTGACTGTTATATAAAAGTTCTGATACAAACTTTAAAAATAAATATTTGTTTATTAAATAACACTATATATTGATGAAATTGATTTTTTCAAAAATTCAACCCTATAATCAATTTGTAATAAAACCATTACACGATAAATCAATATTATATGATTTAATTTATTAAATTCGTAATATGATATTTATAAGATAATAAATTTATATTTTAAAATTTAACTCATTTCTAAAATAGTTATTTATTCAAAGTATATTTAGATAATTTGAAACATTTGACACAGTTCAATATCTATAGAACAACTTGAAATTGATACAAGATTGTACAAAACTTTTATTATTATTATTATTTATTTATATGTTGATAAAAGATATCACAATAAATTTAAATATTTAAAAATGCATTATTGATTTTACAATTTAATTACAATCCAATAATTGAAAGTGAATAAAAAGGATTAGATGGCAGAAGTAAATTTGAGAGTTTGTATCATTTGTTTTTTGAATAGGGATATGGTATCTAATTAAAGTCAAGAAATCTGCATGAACATACTGTATATATCTTATTACGTTGTAAACAATTTTTTATATCGTCAATTAAAAAAGTTCAAATATTAAAAGATGTTATAAAAATTTGATTTTTTAAAAAATAATTTCGAGATTATCATGATCGAATAAAAATCTTCGCGATTAAATATTTATAGTTATATGATATTCCAAGTGAGCATTTTTTTATAGAAACACAAAACGTCATCCTCGCTTCATTTAACCGCGAATTCCAATCATTCAATTATTTTTATCTTTTTTTCATATTCCTCACGAATTATTCATCCATTTCTATTTTTAATTTTTATTGATAAAAGATGTCGCATCTTGCCATTATTAAAATAAAAAAATAAAAATAAAAATAAAAACTAAGTTCAGGCTGTAACGGTTTTTCTAACCAAAATAATAATCCAGTACAGTATACCGTAATGAGAATAATGAGAATACAGAGATCATTATTATTTATATTATAATTATCCAAAACAAATACATCGAGTAATTCATTTCGATAATGATAAACTTTTGTGCACATATGCGCATATGGGGTTTGGATTTGATTCGATTCGACGGTTACACGTCGATTGTGATGCGGTCGTTTATTAAACTTTTCTATATATGCACTCGGTAATAAATAGGATATCCAATTATGGTGCAAGGAACAATTATCTAGTATGGGTATTTAGTCAGCGATATGACTATTAATGTTTAGCAGATTACGTATTGAGAAAATCGAACGTTACACGTTGAAACGCCAAAGGTACAGACTGCGACTTTTTTTTAATCAAAACTCAATCATGTTTTTAATTTAAAAATGCTAACCAAAGATCTCTTTAACATGAGGCACCATGAAGACTAAACCCGAATCATACTTATCATTAGTATTTCTAGTTTTCATAATAATTGGTTGGAATACAAATGGGGTAGAATCTTTTACGCCCCGACCACGCTTTCAACATAGCAGTGTACTTTCCGATTCCAAGTTATTTATACTAGGTGGTAAATATGAAGACCAAGGGGTATCGTCCGAGATATTTTATATAGATCTATCTGAATCTTTTAAAACGTCAAATATACCGTGGAAGAGTCTTTCCCCTATTCCGGTTCAAAGCTATTGCGCAGCAGCAGCTACCAGTGGCCAAGATAATTCGATAATTTATCTTTTTGGAGGAATTATGATTGATCCGATAACTTCCAATCCAAGTTTCAATAGTTTGATCTATGCCTTTGACATTAAAGCAGAGACATGGAGCATTCCGATTATTCACAGAAATCAACCTTCCGGACGTTACGGCATGTCTGCCGCCACCATTAAAAATGCAAAAATTTACATTTACGGGGGAGTGTCTGATCCATTAACCGGAAGCAATTCAACCATATATCCTCGAGAAATGAACATATTGGATTCCATACAATCTTCGTGGTTATTGGATGCCTCTGGTTCAAATTCACCATCAGGAAGAATTTATTATTCCGCTACGATGCTTTCGAGTGGGATCATATATTATATTGGTGGACTTGAACAATCGACAAATTCCTTGAATGTCACAAACATCAATCTGGTATCTTTCTTTCGTTCCATTTCTTCGTCTGAAATTATAACGAAAACTAGCTAATTTCTTTAAAAATTTTCAGATATGGGTTTATGATACCACGAGTGGAAATTGGAATCCCAAGGCAAGCTTATCTTTAATAGATTCGAAACATTCAGCAAGCATATTAATAACATCTTTAATTTGAATGTAGACTGCTTCTGGCAATGGTATTCAAAATAGATACGCGCATACCGCTGTAGCTAGTACGTAACTTGATGATTTAGATTTTAAATAAGTAGATGTCATGATCTTTTGCTAATCAAAAACTTCAAAAAAAGCAACCGACAATAAAATAATAATTTACGGTGGGGCCACTTACCCCGATGGTTCTGGTGTTGCCCCGGTTCTTGCAGTTTTATATATATCCAATTTTACGTGGTATGCACCAAGTGTTACGGGAATGAATTCACCTCCCCAGTTAAAATATCACACAGCTGGAATCAGTGGAAAATATATGATTTTGGCATATGGTAAATAAAGAAAAAGTGTTTTCTTTTTCGCAAAAACTAGAACATAAATATAACAAATAATTTCTTCTATTTCCAATTAGGAAACATAACAGATTCGAATACTCTTAATCCAGAAGTCTATATTGTTGATACGAATAAATACAGTTTTGTTACCGAATTTAAAACACCTGGTTATAATAATTTTCTTACACGCTTGTTGTCCTTACGTATGCGTCAAACAAAGACTAAATTTATTTTTCACGATAATTTAGGGTCAGGTGATGAGGATATTGATGTGGGAAAAATTTTTGGAATAGTGATTGCTGTGGTAACTTGTTTATTAATTATTGTTCAAGTATGGTATTTTGGATTCCATCGAAGGAGAAGGCAGTCTCAAGAACCCGAACTTGTTCGACCACATCAATCAACTCAACCAAGAAACGACGATATTGTCACACATCAATCAATTCAACTAAGAAACGACGATATTGTCACACATCAATCAACTCAACCAAGAAACGATATTATTGTCCCACATCAATCAACTCAACCAAGAAACGATATTATTGTCCCACATCAATCAACTCAACCAAGAAACGACGTTATTGTTCCACATCAATCAACTCAGTCAAGAAATGATGTTATTGTCCCACATCAATCAACTCAGTCAAGAAACGATATTATTGTCCCACATCAGTCAACTCAACCAAGAAACGATGTTATTGTCCCACATCAATCAACTCAGTCAAGAAACGACGTTCGGCAAACAGAGTCACAAAATTTATCGACACCGAGATATCATAATAGTTACCCAGAAGAAGGAAGCATTCAGCCCATTCATCCTACTCAACTTCAGTCTTATGACTATGTAGGAACTTACGGTGGAGATGTTCAGGGTCAACATCCATCACATTATTACCAGAAATCTGATCCGATTATAATTCGAGCTCAACAAAATATACGGAATAATTCCATCCCATTGTTAGCCCAAGCATACTATCCTAGAGAGTCTTTTCGTGCCGATCAGGAAACCCATTCATTTTCGCGTACACATAATCCTGTGGCGAGTTCAAGATTAAATGATTCTCTTGCTGGTTCAAGCTCACAGGGTGATGGACGTAATACAGCACATCCATACTTTGATGGCCATGACATTTATTTGAACGAACCTAATTATCGAACGAACCCTCACATTTATCAATCCTAATACTTACTGTACAGTCGACTTCTTTGATTATTAATTAATCAATTAACATCAATATTCACATTTAACCTATTGTCTTAACATCATTGATAGAAATTTATTATCTTAGATGACAATTCCCTTTTGTTCTATATGCTATATACTGTATAGTTCATTATGTATAATATTCAATGTTACGAACAATTTTTTGTATTAGATATGTCACGTGAAATCTGGTTTATCGAATCATACTCTTAATAAATGATGAATCAGTTTAGCACCAAGTTTTGTTAGTCAAATAATCAACAAATCCTACCAAGTGTTTATGCGAAAACGTATGAGGTAATTTATATTAATCCGCAGACGAATCTGCGATGCACCTACAGATATTCAAAGAAATTATTTCGTGACGTACGACCTTTTTACATAATATTCAAAGTACGAAAAAGTTTATTATGAACTTTTTTTAATTATGCAATGGAGGTGGACCTTAATGACGAGAAATAATTTATCAGAACTAGGCGTTAAAGTACTTTAAAAGGTATTCGCATGAATATTTATTTATAAATCAGTATTTGAATTCGTAATAATCCCTTATTTTAATGCCTATTGCTACACATCATGTTATAATTATTATAAGAAATCTTATGGATGTGGATAATATTTCGGATTATAGTAGTTTGTGAATTTATATAACAGAAGAAGTAATATGTGAGAATGTCGCCCTAAATACTGTAGAGGAATTGGCAGAAACATTGACCATATTGGCCACGACACTATAAACATGATCTTTTAGTAAAACTCTTTGAACATTAATTTTTATGATGCCCAAAATCGATGAAATGCAAAAAGCAAATGTAATGTAAAATGTAACTGAAAAGTTGTCACTTTGAGAATTCATATCAAGAATCTGCCATTATTCTTTACATCAATAAATACCCTTTGAACTCTTGAAAGAAATAATTAAGTGTTGTCCGAAATACGACGGTGATTAGCAAAAGATGCTACTCTGGTTTGTCTGAAGAGGATTATTCGTCGAAAATTTAAGATATTAAGAATAAAGATATTATCGGAGATGATTATAATGGTTGTCCGAAGAATAGGTAAAAATATAAAGATCATGGAGAAAATGAATAATTCTAATAACAAGTTTGAAGGGTAATAGTAGATTATTGGGGTGATCTAAGTTGGAGCTGCAAGACAATGACTAAAGAATAGAAAGGGAAAGAAAAAAGCATAATAAAAACAATGGTGATGATAGAGACACTGGGTGATCCTAATGAGACGAATGATGTAATACACGATAGCTGACTTTGTGTATAAAAAATTTGATAGCAAATTTATTTTAGCTTCAGAATCAATTTCCGACAAATTCAAGATTTTGCCTTTTGTAATGGTGGAAGAGAAATAATATTAGATTAAGTTATACAGTATATTCTTTGAGATTACGCGTATCTCGAAGTCGTTGTCGCGTAATTCTTTTATAATAAATTAAACGTAACGAATACGGTACTCGACAAAGACAGCGGAGATAGAAATTATAGCAGAAAGTATACACAATTTGTTATACGTATGATGTCATTGTATTATACAGAGTTACAATAATATAAAATATGTTATGAATAATGCTTTTTTCAAAATTATCATACAATATACTGTTAATGCCTTTATATTAAACCGATGGTTTCGTTAATTGAAAGTTTGTCCTATAGAATACGTAGTTAGAATAGGTCATTCGTTCTACATAATTACTACTTTTATAGAATAAATTAACGATCGAAGGTCCCGTGACTTCATAGCTTAAAGAAATTTGTTGCAGTAAAAGTTTACAGAGCTATTCATATTTACACGAATTTTCGAGGCAAGTCACGGCATATTGCATGTAGTAAACAAAATTTCTTCATTTATGTATCAACGCGGTTCAAATAATTTAACTTGCTTTTATAAAAAAACAAAAGATTTTTTTTTTTCGACATATAAATAATCCTCGTTAATGAATGCTTTGGCTATTGGTATCTGATACGATACAGCTATCTTATTTCCAATTAACTTATCATCATGGACCAAACCATTTACGATTATCCTGATGGTGACATCAAATTTCTGGTGGAAGGCAGAATATTCTGTGTCCATAAAAGAATTTTATCATCTGCATCAGATGTCTTCAAAGACATGTTCGACCACGCAACTTCTGAAAAGGACGAAGCGGTTTCTACTGTTCCTCTATCACAAGAATCCGCTCAATCCTTTGAATGGCTTCTTTCTATCATTTACCATGGCAGCAGTTTTATCGTGGACAGCAATAATGTGTCGGAAATTATCCGTATCTCTGATAAATTCATGGTTGAAAGAGCGATTGAAAAATCGTTGTTTTTTCTCGACGACAACTTCCGTACCGACCCCCTGAACTCCCTTTTGGTAGCTGAAAAATATAAAAGAAAACCCTTATTCAAGGTTTCATCAAAATTGGTTCTTGACGACTATTACGCGTATAAAAAGGATCCAAACTATTCGAGGCTGTCACCACAAACTTGTCAAGCTTTAGAAAATCGATACAATCAATATGAGAATACGGCCATGTATTTTGACGAAAAATCATTAACCTCAGGATATAAACACACATGTCGATATGCCGACTGGCACAATAAAAAGCTCGAATTCATTATAAGAAATATAATTAAGTTAATCAATGATAATGAAAATGGAAAAATTTATAATATCCGTGTCCACCGCTCCAATATAAAGAGAAACTGTCCGCGGATATTTTGGAACTATCATGTCGAAAAAGTGATCCGAGCTCGATTTGGTAAACTCGAAAATTTAACCGATCGTGATTGGAGAAGAAAATACCTTTACATGTTTATAGAATTGAACGAATAATTCTTGGATCATTTGTTTTTAAACCAATTCGGGTTATATGTTTTGACTCGAGATATTAGTAAAGAATCTATTATTTTTCACTTCTTAATGTTCTTCAAACATGTAATATCAAGTACTTATCAATAAATGACCTCTTCAATATTAAGTAATATTGAGTTTACATTTTTTTATTATACAGTATACCATTAAAATGTAAAATCAAACCCAATACTGTAGAAATAAGAATTTCTAAAGATTTTAAATTTTATAAAATAATCGAATCTAATCTTGATAGTCACCATCGAATTTTATTCGCTTAAAATTGAAGTTCATTGATTGTAATGTTTTTTATTATTTAATCAATGGCCTTATGATGCACTCAATGAAATTCTCGGTCGGTCACAGAAAATATTCGTAATGTGCTGTAGATATTGATATTGATAAAAATTTTTTGTTCGCTTAAAAGTCATACAACAAGGCATATAATTAATTATCTTTTATTTAAATGGATCAATTATTTTTATTCAATAAATCGACATATGAACTTCTTATCAAATACAATCATTTCATATTTTTTTAAAAAATAGATAAAACTTGTCAGAACTTTTTGATGCTTTCAAAATTTGTAAAATGAACAATCACAAACAACATATTTAAATTTTAAATTTCAACTTGCAAATACAAATCTCATGCCTGTCCACTGTCCACTGTATTATTTTGATTGATGATTTCCTGCAGATTACTGTCTTATTAAAATATGAGTATTGCAATAGCTTATAACATTTTGCAAAATATTGAAATAGAAATTTTAATCATTATTAAAAATTACAAAAATCATTTTTTAAAAAAGAAAAGAATTTAATTCTTATATATATTTGCCATTTGATAAATTTTTAATAAAATTTTTAATATATAATGCTAATGATAATTTTTTAAAATTGTTTTTTTTTAATATAACTCTATTAATAATTATTTAAATATTATAAAAATTTATAAAAATATTTTTAAAAACCTATAGTTCAAGGTTACTTAAAAACATTTTTGAAATTTTTTCTTGTTTTATACTTAAAATTTATGTTTAATATACTGTAAATTAACAAATATTGATAAAACAAATTTTCTAAAGTTTTATATACTGTATGAGTTACTACAAAAACATAATATAGTTTTTCAAAATTTTTACAAAAAAATATAGCATTTTAAAAATTATTTTAATTTATTATGCAATAAAAAATTATTTGTTTTATATAAAATTTTATAAATCACTTTTTTATAATCTAAAAAACAAGGTTGTTTAAACTTATCTTATAAAATATTTTTTAGATTTTTTTAATATAATAATTTAATACAAAAATATTTAAAATTTAAAAAATTTATATTGCAAAGAGTAAACAAAAAGTTACAATAAAAAATGTTTGTATAAATCTAACAGATGTCATAATAATATAATCATAGACATAAAATTAACATAAAGAAAATAAAATGCAAGTATGGAAGATTATATATATTACATAATGAATATTGATACTGTGTTATCATGTAATTAATCTATACTAAATAGTGCAAAATCTAATCTTGCTGCAATCAGTCAATATAATAATTGTAAGTGACAATAATGACATTGTAGAAATTGTTCTATAATTATAATATACAATTATACTAGAGTACATTATTTTATATTTAGTATAGTTAGTTCATTTTATATAATAATAAGAAAATATATAAATAAATAAAATATTTTTATTAATAAAAAGCAATGTGAAAGGTAAAAAGAACTCAATCAAATTTCGGGGTGTTAGTTGGTAGCCAGGTTAAAATTAGAGGCAGTGCTAGGGTTAGAATAGCTAATATAGTTAGTCAGACTCTTCATGTAATGATTGTAACTTCAATGTTAAGTTAATAAAGTTCACATGTAATGCACTTTGCCTCTAAAAAAAAAAAAAAAAGAACTCAATCAAATCTTGTATCTCAAATCACTTATTTGTTATCTTAAATTACTAGTAACAATTATACAAATTTCTGTTGACATTAATGATAGACTTGTCAATAGCCCATTATAATATATATCTTTATTATATAATAAAAAATTTATTTGTTTTATATAAAATATAAAATTTATTTTTTTAGATTTTTTAAAAACTTTTTGTTTATGCTTTTCTTATAAAGTATTTATATAAAAATTTTCAAAATATACTTGTTTATAACAATTTAAAATTTTTTTTAAATATCTATGTATTATATAAAATCTTAAAAAATATTTATTTTTTAATAAAATTTATATTGTATTATTTTTAAGTTTTAAAATATATTTGAAATAAAATTTTATAAAATTTTAATAATTTTTTTATTTAATTATAATATAAAGTACAAAATAATTTTTTAAAAAAAAATTATGAGCCACACTGTAAATATTTGCATATTTAAATTGTTATATCATTATTTACTATTATAAAGCTTCTATATATATTTATAACATTTTGTTAAAATAAAAAATTACTAAGATCTATAAAATCATTTATAACTTTTTGTTTTATTTAATTTTTATATACAATATACTGTATATATTATATAAAATTAAACTTATAAACCTATAACTTAATAAAAAATAATTTTTTGTACTTTTATCTTATTCAATATTAATATTATTTCTTCAATTTTTTTTTTAATATTTATTTTTAAAATATTTTTTATTATTAATTTATTATTATATTATTAACTTACAATTTCTGTATAATTATTTTTTCAAATTTAATATTCATTTTTTTTTAATAAATTATAATTTTTTATTTAAATATTTATATAAATATACTGTATATTTGTGAAAAAATTTTTATATTTCTTAAAAAACCTAGGTTAAATGCTAACTTATCAAATAAGTACTTGTTATCCATTATATTGTGGACGATAAATAATTATTCTAGTGAATAATTGGCTTTGTCATTCATAATTTGACTAATAATATAGTTATTGGATATATATGACATAAGTATTGTTACATAATTTTAAACTTTTGCTTAAACTATTTTATTTAAAAAATTTTTTTCAAAAAAAATTACAATCAAACAAACTTATGAATTCTACTCAAGTTTTATAACTTCTATCTCAAGAAGAAATAAATCAATTACAACAAGTATCACTTGTATCTAATACTAAAAAAAATATAGCAAAATGGCTTCAAACTATAGAATGATTTAATAAAAATTGTGATATATTTCAAGTTATCAAATTAATTGACTCTGTTATCAAATTTGAAGATTATTTATGTCAATTTATAACCTAGTTACAAAAAAAAATGGTTTTGATTATACATGTTTCCTTATTACCATAAAAGAAAATTTAATCGACAATATGATTTTGAATTAAATATAATTCTCAATTACTTACTAATTGTTACTTAATAATACAAACATAATATGATTTTTGAAAAATATTTGAATTAAATATGAACACATGTATAGTTCTGATTACAAAGTGGAATCTGTTCACAATTGCTATAATGTGATTAATAGATATCTTCAAGATTATAGTATTATTCAATCAATAAAAATTTGGAATTAATATTGATTTCCTTACACACTTCATATTTTGGATGGAAAAATGTGAATTTTATAAGATAAAAGATTGGGTGATTCAAAAAAATCTGATGGATTATCTTTAAAAGAAATTAAACAAATACTTGATCACTTATATATGAGTATTAATAATAATGAATTACCTATTCATCAAGTTTTTTTCTGATTATATTTATTATGTGGATTACAAGGTGGAGATGCATATCGAATTTGTAGAAAAGATTTTGAATGTCACCAAGATAGAGGATTAGAACTTGTGCTACATAAAGAAAAAAATAATCAGAGTGGTGCTTTTTATAAAAACAAGTATGGAAAAACAAATTCTTGATGTATTTCTATACTACTGGACTTACCTAGTAATTTATATACACAAATAAAAGATATTTTATTTTTTTTATCAAAATTACCTGATTCTTCTTTATTATCAGATCCTTTATTTCATGAAACTTATAAAAGTCAAAAAGATAAATATAATTAAAATATTTAATTTATTATTTTTATTTTTTAAGATCAAATGCAACAGTTTTTTATTAAATAATTAATATTTAATTTATTAATATAATATATTTATTTTTATTATTATTAAAGATTTTCAAAAAGGTTGTTGGTATAAAAATACACATATGGGTTATATGAAACTTAGAAAAATGATGAATGATATTGCAACAAATACTGGAATTAATTTGGATAATGGACGAAAAATTACAAATCATTCTTGCCATCATACTGTAATTCAACTTTTAAAAAATAATGATGTTTCCGATTCTGAACTTTAATCCTTTTCTGGTCATCATTCTCGTGAAGGTTTAACAGATTATTGTCAAACTAGTGAAGATTAACGTATTTTAAATACTGCAATGTTAATTTCTTTTTTGACACAAGAATTAGATTTGAATGAATATGATTATTATAATAAACAACAAGGTAAATATAAATTTAATTAATATATTATATAATAATCACCTTTATACAATAATTTAAAATTTCTTACCTGTAAATTCTATTACGATTCAAAAAAATAAATATCCCGCAACATAAAAAACTCAAGATTTTACTATACAAGATTCTGCAATACAAGTTTTTACAACCAAAGAAACTCAAACTTCTGTAACAAAAGAAACTTTATTATCCATTATTGAAGAAACCCCCACAAATAAAAAAATTAATCAATCTCAAGTATCAAGAATTCCTAAACCAAAGGCTCGTACTCAAGCTCACCCTTATTCTTCTGTAACAGCACCTTTTAAATGTCCTTTTGATTCTGATTCTCCAATGTTTACTTCTTATGGTAAATATCGAAAACCATTATCTAATAATAATAATATTATTATTATTAGCGATAGTTAATTTAAATAATTTCTTTACTATAATGTAAATGAAAACTTGTGTATTCTAACGTAGTAAATAACAATTTACATGTTTAAATAAAAATTTATATATTATATAATTAATGATTAAATAACTTACGCAAAAAACGTCTGATGCCCATATTACATATATCCAATAATTATTGTTATAATTATAATAAATTTATTTTTAGAAAATTTATTCTCAATTCTCTCTTGTGGTCGCATAGCCCATGTTATAGGTCTACTTTGGCACACTGAACACAAGGTAAGAGTTTCTTTTTAAATGTTACTTTATTGTTCATTACTTAATGCGCTTTAAACTAAACTATCCTCTTGTCAACATGCTACTGAATTGCTCATGTATTTATACATGCACCTGTTGTATACACGTTTACATCTGATTGTTATTCTACGCTATTCTAGAAATTTATACCTCTAAATTTTTCCACACATTGATTTCTCACCGTTCCCCACAACAAATTTTACCCACGAAACTATTTATAGGGGAATATCCTGTTCTAATAATTTTGAATCTACAATAAATAATAGATATTAATATTAAAAAAAAATAGTGTTAAAAATACTAAATAAACATTTTTACCTGTAAACTCATTTGTCTCAGGGAGTAAAAACATTGCAATTCTTTGGTTTTTTAATTTTAAACCTAATAATAAATATTATAGAATGAATTACAGTTACTACTGTATAATAATATTTACTTAAACAATCTTAAAATCACATACCACTAGAAGAAGTATGTTGGTGGTATTGTTGAATGGTGCGATTTAAAAGCTTACTTGCAAAATGTGTGCCCGAATGTGTAGAATCAGTGGTTTCTATTAAAGCATTTCGACATTCCTCAGCAGAAATAAAATTCCTTTCATTTTCTTTGTTTAAGAGCCAATTATTAAATTGTTTTTTAATATCATCCATACTAGGTCTATCATATGGATTGTTGTCCCAGCATTTTTTCATTAAATTAGCAAAAACTAGTGGCGTATCTTTTGTAACTTCAGGTCGCAATCCATTAAAGATTTCCTGTAATAGAAAAAGATCGTGCTCTCTATTCTTAAATGGTCTAAAGCCGGAAGTAAATTCCCACATCAATATCCCAAAACTATATACATCGGATTCTTGCGTATGTTGTTTTTTTTTAAAGACTTCAGGTGCAACATAAGGTATTACACCACATACATTTTCCGGTTGACAAGCTGAACGGATTTTTTTACAAGAACCAAAATCAGATATTTTAATCGAATCAGAAATCCCACCTACTCCTAGCAAAATATTTCCAGAATGAATGTCGCAATGTAGCAATCCTTGCTCGTGAATTTCCTTTAATCTAATTAAAAAAATTATCAACAGTCATCTAATAAAAAGTTTAATTATATTTAATACCTACCCATTTGCAATACGACTTAGTTTTTCTATTTTTTCATACCATGTAATTTTCTTAAAATTTTTTGATAAGTATTGACTGAGACTCCCGTCTTCAGCATATTCCATTACCATCGTATAAGTGTTCCTTTCAAGGTCTTTAATAATACCGAAACATTTAAGTATAGAATTTCCGCCTTGAATAAACCTTTGATGTATAAACTATAAAAAATACGTAAGTAATAAATATCATATTTATATTAATATAATAATAAAATCAAGCTAGACCTACTTCTTTTAAAGAATCCATAATAATATTTTCAGAATTATAAATACATTTAAGAGCAACTTTTGTTTTTTTTCCAGATTCTTGAATCCAATTTGCTCTATATATTTTGCCAAAACCTCCTTCAGTTAAGAGTTCCACATTCTGAAATTGAGAATACGGAATCCATATATTTTCATTTTCAGCAGACTTCAAATACCAACCGATCGCCTTTTCAGTATCCCTTAATGTTCCAATACCTAATTCATAACAGTTTCCGAGATAATATTGACCTATATAATCTCCATTTTCGGCAGATTTCAAATACAATTCAAAAGCCTTTTTAACATCTTTTTTGACTCCGATTCCATTTTCATAACAAAATCCAAGATTTGAAGGATCCCCGTTTTCTTCTGATTTCGAGTGCCACTGAAATGCTTTTTTATCATCTTTTGTCGTTCCAATCCCATTCAAATAACAATATCCAAGAGCTTCTTGTCCATTAAAATTTCCACCTTCGGCTGATTTAAGACACCATTGAAATGCTTTTTCATCATCTTTCGAGGTTCCAATTCCATTCAAATAACAAAATGCAAGGTTAAATTGCCCATCAGCATTTCCACCTTTAGCAGATTTTAAATATCATTGAAATCCCTTACTATCATCTTTCTCGGTTCCAATTCCATTTCTATAACAATAACCAATATCACTTTGCGCTTTGTCATTTCCATTTTCAGCTGATTTCAGATACCATTCAAATGCCTTATTAGCGTCTTTCATTATTCCTATTCCATTTCCATAACAAATACCAAGACAATATTGCCCAAGAGCATTTCCACCTTCAGCTGATTTCAGGTACCATTCAAATGCTTTCTCATCGTCTTTCATAACTTCAACTCCATGTTTATAACAATCTCCAACAATACCCTGACCGTTGGTATTTCCATTTTCAGCTGATTTCAGATACCATTGAAATGCTTTATTATTGTCTTTCATTATTCCAATTCCTTTTTCATAACAATAACCAAGACTATATTGCCCAAAATCATTTCCACCTTCAGCTGATTTCAGATAGCATTGGAATGCTTTCTCATCGTTTTTCGAGACCCCAATTCCATATCTGTAGCAATCTCCAAGACTATTTTGTCCTTAATGATTTCCACCTTCAGCTGATTTAAGGTAACATTCGAATGCTTCCTTGTCGTCTTTCGTGACTCCAATCCCATTTTGATAACAATTTCCAAGATTATTTTGTCCCTGATTATTTCCACCTTCAGCTGATTTAATGTACCATTCGAATGCTCTCTCGTCATCTTTCGTAACTCCAATCCCATTTTGATAACAATTACCGATGCTAAGTTGTCCTAGATTATATCCACCTTCAGCTGACTTCAGGTACCATTGAAATGCTTTTTCATCGTCTTTCATGGTTCCAATTCCATTTTCATAACATATTCCTAGATTAAATTGTCCTTGATTATTTCCGCTTTTAGCTGATTTTAGGTACCATTCGAACGCTTTCTCGTTTTCTTTCATTATTCCAGCTCCATTTTTATAACAGTTTCCAAGATTATTTTGTCCCTGGTGATTTCCACCTTCAGCTGATTTCAGGTACCATTCGAATGCTCTCTTGTCATCTTTCGTGACTCCAACCCCATTTTGATAACAATTTCCGATACTAAGTTGTCCTAAATTATATCCACCCTCTGCTGACTTCAGGTACCATTTAAATGCTTTCTTATCGTCTTTCATGGTCCCAACTCCATCTTCGTAACAACATCCAATAATAAATTGTCCCTTAGCATTTCCACTTTTAGCCGATTTCTGGAACCAATGGAATGCTTTCTCATCGTTTCTTGCAGTCTCTATTCTATTTAAATAAGAAATTCCGAGACTAATTTGTCCATTAACATTTCCCCCTTCAGCCGATTTATGATACCATTCAAATGTAGCCTCGTCGTCTTTCATAGTTCCAATTCCATTTTCGTAACAATAACCAAGAAAATATTGCCCTTCGTGATTTCCACCTTTAGCTGACTTCAGGTACCATTGAAATGCTTTCTCGTCGTCTTTCATGGTTCCAATTCCATTTTCGTAACAAAACCCGACTATAAATTGTCCGTTAGTATTTTCATTTTCGGCTGATTTAAGATACCATTGGAATGCTTTCTAATCATTGTTTGCAGTTCCAATCCCTTTTAGATAACAATATCCGAAACAAAGTTGTCCATTATTATTTCCACCTTCAGCAGATTTATGATAACATTCAAATGCTTTTTCATCGTCTTTCACGGTTCCAATTCCATTTTCGTAACAATATCCAAGGATATATTGTTCCTGATGACTTCTATCTCCGACTTGTTTTATAAGTGATTTAAATAATTTATCATAAACATTATTGTCGCTATTTATATCCAACATTACAGGCTTTATTCGAAAAATTTTATAATCTTGTATTCTTAGAATATTTTCGGAGGCAAAAGGAGACAAACCTATTTCAAAGTTTATTTCATCATTTTTATTAACGAGAGGTTCCACTTGACTTTTGACCCTCTTATTTATTTTCCATTTCATCGGGTTCTTTCTTTTATACTCTGTTTTTTTGGACATTGCTGGAATTATGTAACTTGATATTAATTACTTTTATGCTTTGAAGATATTATGGCAAAGTAACATCCAAATATGTCCAATTAAACTTTAGAACGACTCGTCTTCTAAACTTTGATATGAATTTCCATATTCTTATTCAAAACAAGCTCCCATATCAATGGTAGATACAGTATATACGAAGTAGAAATGATCTGCGATATACATACTGTAACAGGCAGAAATGGAACGCGACTTCAGTCACGTGATAAATCGTCGCGACAATGGTGAATCGGCTGAGATAACTAGGTAATAAAGGAAGGACGTGAAGGATTGTGAAAAAGAATTATGTCATGTAGCTTTAGCCATGTCATAGTATTAGCGCTTATTATTTCATGCCCAAGCCGCCATAGCCAAATGTAAAGAAAGAGAAGTATAAATAACATATAAAATATAAGAGATAGATGATAAGTAGTGAGAAAATAATTAAAGAAAATTAATAAAGACTCGGTCAAATAAAAACACCTCAAATCACCCTTTTGTTCACTTGTCTAATAACGGTTACGCGAATCTCTGCTAGAGTGAGCGACAGACTCTCCGTTACACCGTTACAATGCCAATGCAGTACAGTACAGACTGTACGGTATTTCAAAACCGAAGATATCGAGCATTCTTATTATTTCTTATTAAATTAATTAAGAATACAACGTTAGAACTCGGCTAAAGACCATTTAGTTTGCTTTTTAAAAATACTTTTCTTTGAAAGCGATTATTAAAAGAAAATGTTTGTTATTTAAGCCTTAGTTTATGGTATAAAGTATATTGTATTTAGTCATGTTATAAAAAATTGGTTATTAATAATAAAAGAACACAAAGATATATTGTTTTTTATGACACTTTCAAGTTTCTGATTACAACAAAAATCGAAAATATAATTATTACAATACCCAAGCAATACAAATCCAGCTGTACGTACGTTGCTCAAGCCTTTATAAATGCCGATTCCTATGTCATTTAAAATTACCGTAGAAACAAATCTCTTACAGTACATGTAATGATAATTAAACATATGGTCTGCTTATAGAGATAATATTGTTTAAATTGGTTAAGTAAATAAGTTGACAAAACTGAACAAAATAGTTCTAACTATATTAATTCGTCACATCACAATAATACTCGATCAAGAAAAAATAAAAACAAATATTGATTTTTTATTAATATAATCACAATCTGTGCCAAGGTAATAAAAGATTTTTAACGAGCAAGTGTATCAATAACTTATTTAAAGAAAAAGACGAATTCTTTATATGTTATGTTACAGAAAACCGCCTTATTATTCGTAGTGCTTGGGATAATGCTAATATTTACAGCATTAACAATTCAATTTATTACAAGATTCTGAAATTCAGTGTCTTCCATTTTATTTTCATAGTCTTTACCTCAAGTTGCATTATAATCATTAATAATATATAACTTTTCTCAAAGAATTTTAAGAGTAGGTCTTTAAATATAAAACCAATATGTCATTTTACCTTTTGAAGATAAAATGATCGACGTTATTGACCATTATGATTTTTTTAATCAATATACACAGTATTCTTTATTCGTTATGATCACATTACTACTAAACCAAGATAATATTCAATAATCAACCGATTCAGCTAAACATCACTTTCCACAATAAAATAATAATTAAGTAATGAAATTGGGTGAGTTTTGATAAATTAGCTAACATCCTGATAATGTGATAATAAAAAGTATTAATACATCGATCTAGCATCGTGTATATTGGCTATGTTGTGAGTCAATATATTTTCGAGTATTGACAAATTTGGAGGCTTACGTAGTGTCGGGATCATCAATCCTTGACCTCGCGATACTTTCGGGCAGGGGTTCGGGTATTTTTACGGGGGTATGACGAGTTTGTGTCTGGTAAATTTATTTATGTCTCTTTTTCTCTTCTACATCGCATCATTATATACATTCTTTACATGATAAACACAGATAAAAAAAGAAAAGAAATAAAAATAACGATGTTGAGGATCGATTATCATTTTTTTTGGTAACCTGCTTATTACGCGATCATCGGGACGCTATTTTACAATAAGCCACTAGAGTCGATTACTTTTTTCACCGTAAAAGTAGACAAGCAAAAATAAACTTTGTTTATTCAAATAGAGGCTTTGACAATGTTATGGAATTATATTTGTTAGCTCCGTTATATAAAAACCACATTTTTATTTCTTTAATAAACAAAAGAACCAATAATTAAAAATAAACTCCAAACTCTCGCTTATATTAGTACTTGCTATTCTACTTTTCACAGTAATATATTGATTTTTATTTAATTTAATTTTTAAAACATTACAAATTATTAGATTTCAAAAAGTTTTATAAATTGAATTAGTTTTTATAATATAAAGTATATTTAATTATTAAAAATTTATTTAATTATTTTACAGTATATCAATATAAATAGATAACAATTTTAAGCTTTGATTATATTTATTTTTTTCTTTTTATATAATATTACTGTTTTTTAATTTTTAAAATTTTTTTATTATATCTATTACAAAAAATTTTATAATCATTTTATAAATAATATGAAATATTATTATATTATTAAATTAAATATGAAATTTATTTTATTCTTTGTATATAAGTTAATTGGTTTTTATAAATGTTATATTCAAATAATCAGTTTCTTATTAAAATTAGTTAGGCTATATAAAAACAAATCTTTAGTCTTTTTAATAATTATAAAATTAAAAACAGGCAAATTAGAAAAGGCTGTATAAATAATTACTCTTTTTTGTACACAACTTTTTCTTAAAAATTTTCTTTTATAGTAATTTTTCTCCAAAATTAAAGAAACAAATATTTTTTTCCTTTCAATACCCAAAAGTCCTTCATATTTTCTTATTCTTCACTACAAGAACCTCAAAAAAATCAAAGAAGCATATGGTACATCAGGATAGAACCTTTGGCCAGAGAAAAACAAGTTTGGAAACTTTGTTTTTTCTTTGGATTGCATGAGAAAAGGCTTGTGGCAATTACTTTTTTATAAATTTTCCTTGGGATTCTTCCCATTTTCTTTTTTTTTCAATACACAAATATTTTTAAATAACTATACTTTCTGCCTGAATAACTTTTTTTATCTCAAAAAACCAGACTTTACATTAAAATTATTTATATTATTGACTTGAAACACCAACAATATATTCAATATTTACTTTTCACCATTGCCTAGCATATTTTGCTGCACCACCAAAAACCAAAAAATCTTACTCAAAAAATTTTTCATCAAAAAACCACAATCAGTTTATTTCTGTCAATTGATAAATATTCCAAACTCAACCAATCAAACATTATTAATTTTTCAAACAAATCCATATAGCCAAAACATCACACTTTAATTGATATAAATAAAACTTTTTATAGCAACAACAACCAAAATAAAATCACATCAACAAACAAACCAATCACAAATCATATCACTACAATAACAATACTATCACTGTGACCAATTATCTATTAAAAAAATATATCATTAACACTATTGTACATTTTAAACAATAGTCTGGTCATTTCTGAAAGTGCAACAGTACTTCAGTTAAATGGAACTATCAGCATAACACACCTAGTAATTTTATCTGAAGCATTTATAGCTTCACAATTAGTGTTGTACTTATTTTTTTTGTTTAATATTTTCTTTTTTTTTTAATTCTCAATTTCTTATAGTCTTACATATAAACCTAAGTAGGTATTCATAGCTTCTCAGCACTATTTAGAATATATATTGGTTTTAATATTTATTTTCCATGTTACTTAGATAGTTTCTGTAAGCAAGCTAGTATTAGACTTACTGATCAATTGGTTATGTGAGAGATGTTGTCACTTTCTACATGTAAAATAATTTTTAATTTTTACAATAATAAAGAAATAATATTTACTTATTTTTTTTTTTAAAAAAAAAGGACATATAAATAAATTTTTAATCTAACATATATAAAAATTTATTAATTCAAAATTAATATAATAAATTTTATAGTATACCATATTAAAGTAAAATAATATAACTTTAAAAAAATTGTTATTATGAATATTTATATATAAACTTTTTAATAACTTGTTAAAAAAATAAAAATTATACTTAATATTTATATTTCTATATTTGACAATTTAAACTAATTGAATTTTTTGAAGTATTTATTAGAAGGTATTAAAATTATATTTTATTTAAATTTAAAATTCTTAAATTTGATAATTTGTATTAATTAAAAATACAGTTTTAAAGTATTTATTAAAAAGTATAATATGAACATTGAAATTTATAACAAAAAAACCTCTATCTATTCACTGCAGATTTTTTTAAAATTCTTATATATATTTTTTTCTAAGGCAAATAAGTTTTAAACTCAAACTATAAAAAATATAAAAATATTATTATATTAAAATAGAACTTGTAATTAAGATCTAAACAAGTTCAATGTTTTTTTTTTGGCTTTTTATTATATAGAAAAAAGTCTTGTAATTCTTTTTTATAATTTTGTTTTTAAATTTTTTTTTTATATATTATCCCTTAAATTGTAATGCAGGCAAATTTGCCTGCTTATTTAAAATTTTAATAAGTTTTTAAAAAAATTTAATAAAATTATAAATATTAATTTTTATAATTTACTTATATTATAAAAAATATAGTTTAAGATATTCTTTATTAACTTTATTAAGTAAAAAATTAAA